TATAAGATATAATAAAAAAATTGATAGAAAAATATAATGATCTTTATTTATTAACATAAGAATTATCTTAATTAATTGTCATATTGTTTAATATTAATAATGCCACAAGTACTGGTAGTAATAAATGATAGGTGGGATGGAGCACCTTATGTGTCTATTCAGAGCAGTATGGTGACTATATATACTATAATATGTATATGAATCTTTAACTTGTCCTCTGGCAAAGACGCAAATCTATGATCTAATTCTACCATTAGCTTCGTTCAAAAATTACTAATTTAATTTATATAATATATAGAATTCAGCTTATAAATTCTATATTACATTGTTAATTTAATCACAGCATCTAATATTGGTATTATGTGCAACGAATTTCATATTAAAGTAACTTATTAGTATCAAAAATACATTGTATTTTCAATATATGTAGTATATGTCACATACTATACTTGTGAAATATAATTTTTTTATTTTCAGAATTATTTTAAAAAGTAGTAGATATGCATTTGATATATTATTAAAAAATTATTGCTAGCAAAATATGTTATTGAGAATAATATATTTTCAATGAATTGTATAATTTATATTTTTAAACAGTAAATAAAATATGTCGAATTGCTGAAAAACATTAGAAAATAAATAAAATAACAAAACTCAATATAAATATAATGTAATTTTAGAAATCCTCTTATAATTTAAAAATAAAATATTATAGACTTTTGTGCTTCATTTATTAATAGTCAAAACATTCTGAAAATCTTATTCTTTACCCATTATAAAATAGCCTGTAAAAATAAAAAAAATATCTATACTTTTCATATTTAATTGGTTTTAGTTTTAATTGACTTGGTAATTTTAGAAATGACATAAGTTATAAAATAAAACTTTTAAACACTTAAAAATAAAAATTGAACAAGTAAGTGACATATATGTCACTTTCTTAATTCTTTTTTTAGTTTATATGAAAATACACTTTGAACATAGCATGAGAAAGCAAATTATTATTTTTAAATAATGTTCAGCGAAATGATAATTGGAACAAAATTTATTTGATTTTTATATATTTGTAACTCAATTTGTATATCACAAGGAATTATAATAAGTGATTAATTTATTGTTGATTACTAGATTTCTTCTAAAACAATAATAATTTTGGCAACTTTTTTTTTGTTTATTTAAACTGTATTAATTTATTGATTTATATAAGTAGTAAAATGCTATTTAAGTCTATCCTTTGTCCCTTTTAAAAGTATTAATTTAAGTTTTTTTAATAGGAACAAATATAATTAATTAGCTTATTTATTATATAGTGATTTAATTTAAAGAATGGTTGGTTTTTCGAAAACAACTTTTGGACTAGTATTTCGGAAATTATTGACATATTGATACGATATAGGGAGAGAATGAGTACGGTCGGAAAATGTATAAAGCAACATCACTCTTCACATCCAGACAATACTTTAGATTTTATTGGATGAATATAATTTTTTTTAGAATAGATACATTGATAAAAACATTGAAAAATCAATAAAAAAATTATTAATATTATAGTTTGATTAATATGTATGAATGGACGAGTGATTGTTGGGATAAGTATAGATGATATCTAACAGTAATAAACATCACCATGTGATCTAATTAAGAGAATGTATTTTCGAAAACAACTTTTGGATTAGTATTTCGGAATTTATTAACACTTATATGCTTAGGTAGGAGGAGTATGACTGAGAAATGTCTAGTAATAACAATAACATAACTCGTATCTCGCCTCCAGTGTACATTTAAAAATATAAAATACTTACAAAATATTAGTTGAAAAGTGTGTATCAACTAGTTAATTTTTTAGCTGGACCATTTTTTATCATTTAATTTATTCAAATATGTATATCATTATTAAAATAAANATCATAGTAAAATTAATACCTTCTCAGCTTCGCATCGAAGCTAAAAAATTATTAATACTTTAGGAGATAATGTGATTATCAATTAGTGATAAACAATAAATTAATCACCTGTATACAGAGTGGAAGAGATCTAACTGACAATACTTTTGATCTAATTATCATTTCTCTATTATTTTTTAATATATTGCTCAGATACAGCTCATACTGGTGTGTACTTCCAACGTATACTTCACTCGTTCTACATACCCACCCTATGTAATAAAATGTTTCTATCTCAAAAAAATATTTATCCTAAAATTTTGACTGATATATTAATAATTTTTGAAAGAAAAATGCTAAAATATATTGTTTTTGAATTTTGATATGTGTTTATTTATTTATGTATGTAGATTCTTTATCTGAACAATCTATAAAATATACTATTATATATATATATATATATTATTGTCAATATATAATTGATAGAATCATACGTTGATGTAACAAAATCAACGAATACACAAATATTATTGATAGAAATTTAACTAATATATATCTACCAAAGTAATTTTTTTATTAAAACGCTCTCAATTATTTACAGAATAATAATAATTTAAACATTTTTTTTTTAGTTACACATTATTCTTAAATTATTAACTATGTAATACTTTTTAAGTTCATCCCTTATGCCTGGTAAGGGTGTTAACTTTGTTTTTTGAAATGGGAACACATATTTTTAATTTATTAAAATTAATTTTTCATTTAATAGTAAATGACATTTGAATTTTTAGTATAACTTTATTTGTTTATTAGATATAAAGATTTACAGTTTCAATTTTTTGAATTAATATATATGTGTAATACACAAGGGATTAAAAATAAAAGTATCAAATTAGATTTTTATGACGTTGATATTTGGAGGTACACAGCATTTATTATCAATGGTAGTAAGGCACATGGTTATGAGTTTATAAATACACTAACTGACAATACAGAAAGTATATCTATGGACAGTCATAATTGACAATAAACACTCCAGAACTGTGACAGCGATGTCATAAAAAACCAATTAGCTACTTGTACTTGTTGAAATTTTGAAAAATTTGAAACTTAAAATGTTTTTAAATTATTACTCTTGAAGATAAGGGTTTAAGAATTAGTAGGAGTAAGACAGAGTATATTGTGTACGAGATCGATAAAGGAGAACACGAGGTAGGTGAAATGAGGACATCACGGACAATAAGCAAGGTCGTGATAGGAAGGGTGAAAAGTTTTAAATATTTAGCATCAGTTGTGCAAAAGAACAGTGGTATTGATGAGGATGTAAGACACAGTATTAAGTGCGGGTAGTTGAAGTGGAGAGAAATGTCTGGTGTGTTATGCAATAAAAGAATTTCATTGAAACTTAAAGGTAAGTTCTATAAAACTGTATTGCAACAATATATAATGTATTGTTCAGAGTGTTGGGCGATTGACAAGAGAATAGAGCAGAGAATGAGTGTAGCAAAGATGAGAATGCTTAAATGGATAAGTGGAGTGACGAGTGAAGATAGGATAAGAGACAAACATATAAGAAAAAGTATTGGTGCAGCGTTAATTATGATTAAGATGAGAGAAAATAGACTTAGATGGTTTGATCGTGATATGAGAGGAGAGGAATCGGTACCTGTAAGAACTGTTATTGAAATGTATGTTGAAGGAAGAAGAGATAGAATAAGACCAAAAAAGAGAAGATGGATGGAAATTATTGAATGCGACATGAGGAAAGCTGTTGTGAGTTTAGATGAAGTGGGAGATCGTATCAAGTGGAAGTTTAGGATAAGGGAGGTCGACCCCAAGTAGTTGGCATAAAGCTTAGGATAAAGAAGTAGAAGTAGTTACATTTTAAAATATCAATAATTATAATAATTTAAATGGGCTTATTTAGCATGTTTATGCAGGAAACGATGAAAAATATATATATTAAAAAAGTATTATTATAGCGTACCTTCTTTATTCCTTTGGACAATGTTACATTTTAATTCCTCCGAAAACATGTCGTTAAATGAGAATACTTTTAATGTCTGAGAAAAATATAAAAATAACCAATATTCGTTTTTTAAACTTTCTGTAAGAGATTTAATAGTAATAATTTTGTTATTCAATTGAGATAAAATTTCGTCGCACTCGTACTTTTCATACGTATCAGGATTATCCACTTTAATGTCAAATTTTATTAGATTTAATTTCATAGTATTAGCACATCTCCAATAAAGTTGTTTCAAATATCCTGATTTAAATTTATAAATATTTTGAGACCTTACTAATTCTACTATTCCCAGTAATAGTACATTAGTGGCTTCCAAGTGATTTACAACGCTATTTGGTAAATCAATTTTACATATTAATTGATCAATTACATTTCTTAAAAATAAACCTGTATTACTTATTATATCTTTATGAAGAATAACTCTAGAAATTACTTCAGTTTCATAAGTATAAACACCAAAAATTATTTTTTTCAATACAAGTGCAAATTTAGCAACGCAGACATAATATGGATAAACTGTTGCAGCTACTATTTGACGTTGGAATGATTCTACACAGTCAACATCAAATGTGTGTTTAATCATGTCAAACAATACTGCCATGTTTGGATATTTTCCGTTTTCCAGTTTTTCATTAATTCGAACTTCAATTATTTCATTTAATTTATCTCTTTTACTTACATCAAATAAACTGGAAAACAACATTTCAATAGGATGATAGGAAATATTTTTCATTATTTCATCTTCGAATTGTATTTTAAAAAAAGCTCTTAAATTAGATTCAGTGTCTTGAACTTTATTCATTGTTTGTTCAATGTTATTTTCCATGAATATAGTTTTAATAGTTTCACTATTAGGTAAAATATCATTAATAATCTCAATGAAATAATTTCCCCTTATAAATTGATGGTTTCGAATGAAAATATTGGAAAAATTTATTAGATTACCTTCATAACATGCATCTAAAACGTTTTGTTTTAGTTGTGCAATTAAATTTGGATAAATTTTCTTAAATTCATCTATAAAAATTTCATGATCACTTAATTCTCTAGTTTGATATGTTACATTTTGATATGTTTGCAATAGTAAGGTATTGGAAAGATTATTCAAGTAAAAATTTGTAAACAATAATCCTTGCGAGTTTTTGAATGCATTTGTAGACCATGACTTGATTGTTTTTTCTATTTCATTTCTTTTTACACGATGTTCATCTTCTATTTGTTGAAGCATTGCTACTACAATTGGGCCCAAGAATTGAAGACCACTAGCGAATTTTTCGATTAAAACATGGCTGGGTGTATTTACTGATACAATTTTGTTGAAATATATAACTTTTGTGTTCAAATTATATAATATATACTTATTATAATAGCAATCGAGATATATTTCACTCGAAATTATACTATAGAAACATGATAGTATTAGAAAAATAAATACTAAAAATTTACTTATCATTTTAATAGTTCAAAAAAAAAAAATTATTTCAAATACGATAATACATATTTGAATAACAAAAAATTCATATAATTCTTTTTATATATCATATTAATTCCCAAAAATGTGTATTTTATAATTTAACAAAATAGTAATAAATAAGTCAATAAATCATTGTTTCTTTAAATATGATGTTAGTTATAATTATATTGTTCACCACGCAAATTATTATATAGTTTTTATATTATACATACAGTGTTCGAAATTTAGTAAAACACTCATTTTCTCGTGAACTATTGAAAAAATTTTATTTTTGTAAAAAAAAAAATATTTGGTTCAATAAACTGCAGTAATATCTATATAATCTTTTTCACTGAAGAGATCAAAATCCATAAATTTAGATTTTTCTTTTGAAAACACCTATTAGCTTCGATGCGAAGCTGAGAAGGTATTGGTTTTACTATGATGTGTTTTTTTTTTTTTTTTTTGTGTCTGTTACCACTTTTTCTCAGCTCTCACCGAACGGATTTCTTTCAACGATACGTCAAAAGATCACAAATCGTATCTAGTCAAAGACATTACCCTTCAAAATTGAAAAAATTTCCCTCGTTCCCCGTAAATGGGGGAAACCTCCAAAAAAATTTAAAAATCGCTAATTTTCGAAATTTTTTCAATTTTTTTTACTAAAAACTGCCGTAACTTTTTCAAAAATTAACGTATCAATATAATTTTTTTTTATATAGATGCTTGATGTCTTTACCTATCATTTGGTATATTTTTTTTGTAAATCTGACACTTAACCTGCCCACAGGGGGGGATTTAAAATGACAACTTTTTCACAACAAATTTACTTTTTCAACATAACTTTTGAAAATGTTCCGGAAGGTCTGACACTTTTATATATATCTTAAATTAAAGCTAATGTAATATACTTTAATTTGAAAAAAAAAAATTTGACCTCTGGACTTGTCTTCACGGTGAAAATGGCTACTGAATGCTATTTTCGTGTGAAAATTCTCGATTTTATTATTTATATTATATTTAACTTTATAATGCTATAACTTATTGAAAAGTTTATGGATCCACACAATTTTTTTTATGAGAAATAATATATTTTAATAAACCCTTTTTCATTCGACATACTTTATCTTAATCGAGATATTAATAAGGAACCAGCAGATCAAGTAGCTTTTGGAATAAAACACCAATTTTTTTAAAATTAAACACTATCTAAAGATTTGCATCGAAGCGTTTATTTTTGATAGTGATTTTAATCACTGTCAGATATCATTTACTTGATCCAACTATGCCTCGTCACCACTGTGCCGCAACCCCCCTGTGCTGGGTTTTTAACTTTATAATGCTATAACTTATTGAAAAGTATATGGATCAACACAATTTTTTTATGAGAAATAATATTTTTTAATAATCCCTTTTTCATTCAGGATATTAATAAGAAAATAGCAGATCATGTAGATTTTGGAATAATCCACTTATTTTTTAAAATTTAACACTATCTAAACATTTGCATCGAAGCGTTTTTTTTTAACTCGATTGTATGATAAAAAAAAATTGAAAAAAATTTTAATCATATCAGTTTTTTTATCTCATCAACCATTTATGTTTAAAGATTGCTTAAAGTAAAATTTATCATTAGTTTGGTATTATAATGCCAGTGACGCAAATAATATGTTTCGACAGCCCATTAATTATTTATTATGATAGTTATCAAGAGAATTTTTGTTTACTTAACATTCTATTCTGCTATTTTATTTGTCATACATTATTCAATAAAAATTGATAAATGTGACAGATTATAAATAAATATAGTTTAAAAAGACTAAAAACACACGCTTTTAAAGCACATCGAACTAAAAAGTAAAAATTATTTTTAAAATAAACTTAAAACAATAATGAACGAGAAATACTAGTATTATTGTGAAAACAGCGTCGGACGCTTAATATACAAAAAATATGGTACAAAGCACCCACGCTTTTTTACACATTAATACTAGTATTTTTCGTTCATTATTCTTTTAAGCTTATTTTAAAAATTATTTTAGCTTCGATGCGAAGCTGAGAAGGTATTGGTTTTACTAAGATGTGTTTTTTTTTTTGTGTCTGTTACCACTTTTTCTCAGCTCTCACCGAACCGATTTCTTTCAATGATACGTCAAAAGATCACAAATCGTATCTAGTCGAAGACATTACCCTTAAAAATTGAAAAAAATTCCCTCGNCGTCAAAAGATCACAAATCGTATCTAGTCGAAGACATTACCCTTAAAAATTGAAAAAAATTCCCTCGTTCCCCGTAAAAGGGGGAAACCTCCAAAAAAATTACAAATTTAAAAATCGCTAATTTTCGAAATTTTTTCAATTTTTTTTACTTAAAAGTGCCATAACTTTTTCAAAAATGAACATATCAATATAATTCTTTTTTATATAGATGCATAATATCATTACCTTTCATTTTTTACAGTTTTCTGAAAGATGAAGGACAAAGACAAAAATGAAAAAAAGAAATATATCTTCCTCCAGAAATAATTGAAAAAACAGG